TGACTTACTTCTGATGCCATTAAGACATAAAGACTAGAGTAAAATTATTTCGTAACTCCTAAGAAAAGGCACGCAATTTGATTAATTACACAGAAAAAAGTGGGATAAGGCCTACTCTTTAATTTTTAGACTTCAGATTCTCCTTGGTTCCAAAAATGAATTGCACTGACAGTGCATGATCAAAAATATGGCAAATTTTCAAACTAATGAGTAATGGCTAGAATGTCACCTTGAAATATTAAATCTTTCATAGTAACAAAATAATATTAAATTCATATAAGAACAGCATCATTAGTTTCCTTCAGTAAAGCTTCTGATAAGAGTCAGAATTATGGTGATATTACAAGAAGAGGTTTCTAGTCAAACCAGCAATAGAGTGTCAAGAAAATAGAAACTTTAAATCAATCAGGGCCTTATGAAATCGATAAATATTTGTGGGGAACCCACCTTGTGCCAGGTACTGTGGGTGGAGCTGAGGGTATAATGATGAACACACAATTTTTGTGCTTATACTACTTACAGTTGCTGGGAGACACATAAATTATAAATTTTGAAGATCTGTAAGATAAAAATAAAGAGTGCTAAAGGACAAGCATAATAAGATCTATTTAGACCAGAGAACAAGGAAAGTTCTCCCATGGAGTCTCATATATCTGACGTGAACTATGAGAAGGAGATAAGCAGGTGAAAAGTGAGGTTAGAGAGATATTTTGAGGGAGAGAGATATATAGGTGTGAAGTCCTGAGTTAGGGAGGCATATAGGTTTTCTCCAGAACTGGATGGAAAACAATGTTATAGGAGCACAGTGAGAAGAATAACAAACAACAAAGCCCAAGAGGTAGGCAGGGCCCTGACCATGCCACATTTTATAGGTCATCAGTATGACAGGAATTGACTTAACATCAGTTGTGGAGTTAGGGATGTCCTCAGCAGTGCAAACAATTTCCTTTGACTCAAGATGTCCTAAATAGGTTTAGCTTGGGGAATTACAGTTTAAAAATATAGGATTGATTGTTAGTTATTGGAAGACACAGCCTTCTAACCTGGTATTCTCTGGATCCTCTGTAAGTGTGGCTACTGAATACACAGCTGTAAGTTTACTTGCAGGGTAAGGCAGCAGCGTACATGCGTTGAGCTATATACAATCAGGCCTGTGACACACACTGTCTCCTGTCATCCTCACAACCATCCTATGATGTGGATACTTTATTTTCATCTTATAGATGAAGACATTGGGTCACAGGGAAGGTGTCTCTTTCCACCACCTTGGAAGAGAAAAGATTCAAATCTGGGTCTTCGAGGTTTGGAAATTTCTGCTGCAGTGTAGTAATTCCTCATGGGCCACAAGTCCAGGAGCATGCTTGCTCCTGGATCTCCTGAAATGGGAATAAAAATGGTCCTTGTAGATGCCAGTACCTTCCATTCTCTCCATTTTCTTAGTCCTCCCTTTATTCACAAATTCAGGCACTCAAGCATTTTCTTAATAACAATTTAGTAAAGACATAGTAAGATGCCTGATATCACTGAGAAGAGGAAGGTAAGTGAGAAGAAAGAGGGAAAGGATATAAATACATATAAGACAGCATCTGCCTTCAAGGAGCCCATATTAAGAAAGCTAAGGCTTACATGCTCATAACCATGAAATACTGGAGGACGTATTGGGTCACGAGAGAAATATAAGCTAAGATTAATTCCTGCTATGCCTCTGAAATACAGGTAAGATGTTGATGGGTAGAGAGGTAAAAGGAGATCATTCCAAAGCAGGCAGTCATAATTTGGAGGGACATTTGCTCTAAAGTCATTTCAGAACCTCTCTTCTCAGATTAATCAAGCTGACAGAGCATGGAGCACTTTGTTCTTAACAGGGACACACAGTCAAACAAAACATATGCTATATATGGCTGAAATGTATTCCTCATATCCAAAATAAAATATAGTTAGGTATGTTTTAATACTTCCCTAGATAAGAGAGACATCTATTTTCTCCATAAGGTTTGTTGTTTTAACTTCTGCTGTACAACAACCACAGCTTGCTACAGGGAAGTTAGAGAGGAAGGAGAGGAGGAAACTCCTGATGCTGATTTGCTATTGATCACTTTGGAGTGCTATCCATTGCACAGTAACTCTCCCTGGAAGCCTCCTGAAATTCCAGAAAATCCTCTCGGGTGTAAGATTCAGGGTGTAGGACATTTGGGGAGAAAGTCTACAGACTGAGTTGAATATGATAAATTCCTAGGCTCTCAGTATGATTGCTTCTTTCTACCCCCTCCTCGCTTATGTCAGAAAAGTCTATGAAGACAGATTGAAGTGAGGGGAACTTTATAGAAAACATTTTGTTTGTTTTAAGGATGTGCCACAGGAAGAGAAACGGGAAGCGGAAAGACTAGAATATGGAGTCTTTGTCAGATTACCGAATTTAGATTTTCTGTAGCGGGTAACAGAGAGAATCTCGGATCTTGAAGTGTGTTGTTTTTGGTTTTGTTTTGACATAACCAGATTCTTAATTAAAGGAAAAGCCTTGAGATCGGATAATATTTTTCCAATTACAGAAATAAGTCTTATGCATAGAAGATGTTAAGAGTTGTTTGCTTCATGTTTAACCTCTTTCAAGAGTTATTATATGTTCAGTCTGTGGCTTCCCTAGGTATTATTGTAATCGTATTTTTAGGGGAGTCAATCCCAAAATGAATTCCAAGAGTCAACAAAATTGCAGTCTAGACAAGATTGGACATAGTGGAACAAACATTTACATATTCCCAATGTCCTTGCAACTGGAATTCATTTCCTTTCTCAATCTCACAAAGGAAATACTCTCTCCTGGTGTTTCCCTTGATATGTAAGGTCAAAGAATTAATTTTCCCTTTTCTTTGTAAGAGCATGTTCAACATGGGGGCTTTCACTATCTCTCTGTCGCTCAGCCATCTTCTAAGCCAGATTTCAATAATACCATGACCCATAACCTTTTGTTTCAAAATTGGTTCTTTGCAGGAAATCAAAGGTGGAGGAGTGTCTATATTAAATATTGATTTAAAAAAAAAGACTTCTCTTTCTTTTCTTCTTTCTTCCTTCTTCTCCCCAGAAGCTGAAAGGCAATATTAGTGAAAGGGTTTACAGCCTTGAAAAGTCCATTCTAGATATTCTCCTTCATTTAACTTTGCTCACTTTTCTCCCCTGCATTATAATAACAGGGTTTTAATACCATTTCATCTCAAATAATTCTATTTGTTGAGCAATTGACATTTCTATTTTTCAGGTAATTTTAAACCATCACATGCTATACTGAAAGTAATTTATTATTTATTTATTTGTTTGTTTGTTTATTTATTTATGATTTGATTTATTTATTCATGCGAGACAGACAGAGAGAGGTAGAGACATAGACAGAGAGGAGCAGGCTCTATGCAGGAGCCCGATGCGGGGCTCAATCCTGGAACTCCAGGATCACTGCCTGAGCCAAAGGCAGACATTCAACTGCTTGAGCCACCCAGGTGTCCCAATACTAAAAGCATCTTAATAAAATTATATTAACTTACAATTTTTTTCTTTGCAATGCCCCTATAAAGCAATAGTTCAATCTAAAATAAAGCATAATTTGAAGAAATAAATTTGGGAAGTATATCATTTTTATCTTATTTCAAACTTCTAAGGACATATTTTCATAGTTTAATGTCCTATAAAATTACTAATAGTAGTTATCTATTATGGAATACCCATGTCTGCCAGACACTGCTTTATAGAAAGTATAATAAAAATCCCTATGAGATAAATGTGACCACTATGGACTGAATTGTGTTTCCCAGAATGTGTATGTTGAAACCCTAACCACCAGTGTGACTCTATTTTGAGACAGAGCTTTTAGGAAGTTATTAAGGGTAAAAGAGGTCATAGGGTGGGATCTGAATCTGATGTGCATGCCCTGAGGAAAGGCCATGTGAGGACACACAAGAAGGTTGGCTGTATATAAACCAGTAAGAGAGATCCCATCAAATCTGAATGGTAGTGGAACCTTGATCTTAGACTTAAAACCTCCAGAACTGTGAGAAAATAAATTTCTTTTGTTCAAGCTACTCAGTCTTGATCATTGGCACGGCAGTCCGAGCTGACTAATACAGTGACTGTCCCCACTTTGTGGACTAGGAAGCAGACGAGTCACTGGAAAAACTGATATTTGAATCTGAATATGAGAAGCCCACTCTTTGGACTGCCCTCTGCTTTTGAGCCAGGAAATAATGAAGATAGATAGCCTTTAAAAAAAAAATACCAAGCACTTCATCTGTTGTTGTGTGTGATTTTATTTTTACTAGGTTTAGTAGATATACACAAAGTCAGGTTGATTTTGCTCATTCCTATTCATTATCATCTGATTTTTGTGTTCTAGCAGGATGTTACTATTTGAGCTTTCAGAATTCTAGGTTAATATTTTAAAATGTAGCCAATCTTCCTGAAATTGCAGTGTTGAGAAACCCAAGATTTACTCTTGCTCTATTTGCTTGTTGTAAAACATATTAAATACAAAATATCCAGTATTGTGCCTGAAACTAGTTGGCAGTATTCCATTAAATCATATTAAAATTAACTTCTATTAATTGGATTAGAAATTCAGTGAGAATGACAGCTGCTAGTGCCTTTTGCAGTTACTTTGTTTCTCTATAATCCATATGGCAGAAATCACATAATGCTTTCTTCCCCATTGAAATAATCACTTGAGATAAAAAGGTTTGACTCAATGTGATCAGGGTGCATGCATTTGTTTTTCTTTCTTTAGAAAAATAAATTTTTGTAAAAACTGAACTTTTGGGACGCCTGGGTGGCTCAGCGGTTGAGCATCTGCCTTTGACTTAGGGCGTGATCCTGGAGTCCTGGGATCAAGTCCCACGTCAGGCTCCCTGCATGGAGCCTGCTTATCCCTCTGCCTGTGTCTCTGCCTCTCTCTGTGTCTCTAATGAATAAATAAATAAAATCTTTAAAAAAAAACTGAACTTTTTTCCTCTCTTTTACAGGTTTTCACCAGCCATATTTTTATATCTGGTTAGCATCGTTCCATCATTATGGCTTCTTGAAATGCACCATGAGACTCAGGTATGTCCCTTTGGAAAGTAAGAAACTGGAAGATTCATCAGGAAACTCCTTTCATACTATAATCCAATTTATTTCAGAAATGCATTTCTCAAAGGAATTGGAGTTATCAATAATTGAATAAGTAAGAGGCCATTAGCAAAAGAAAGTGAATTCACGATCTATCAAAACCCATAAAAATGTTACATTTGTTTAAGAGTTAGGATTACATAATTAATCAATGATTTATGTTAGAGATCTTGTTCGTAAGCACCCCACCCCTAATAGAAATTACCCGGTGTGTGTGTGTGTGTGTGTGTGTGTGTGTGTGTGTGTGTGTAAAAATTTGGTTTAAAAGTTTGCAGATTCAGTGAGTTTCTATATTGTACTAAGAATGGGAAGGGATCAATAATCTAGTATCCTATAAAATGACATTTTTAAAAGTAGCAAAAAACAAAAAGAAACCCCATCATCTAGACTGCTATGTAATTGCAATCAAACCTGGAGGGGCTATTTGAAATAGTCTATCTTAAAAATATAGGGCTTCCAGATTACATAGGATTCCTTTTTGAGGGTTCCCTAAGCTGTTTTAGTGAAATAAGAATTCTACTCTGGAGCCAGATGCGAAGGATAAGGGAGAGGAGTATGAGACCCACCATTGGGAAAGGTGGGATGTATGTATTAGGACCAAGCTGACTAAAAAAAATAAACAGTGGCTTCTAATAAAGTCCCTAACCTATAAAGAGAGAAAGAGCTACTTTTTTTTTTTTTTAAGTGAGTTGCTTCTTACCTGGACAACCCTAGGTAGCAGGCTCTGGACTGGATTCACAATCCATTGCTTTTAGTGCTCCTGTACAACACTGTGGAGGGCAGACTCCAGCAGATTCCAGCCTGGACTTTGCATCTTCTGGGCTCAGGTTATGGGACTATGTTACAGATAAACTGTAGTTATGATATAATATTATTTTAGTACTTTTCACTGATACAGTGCTTTAGTCAAGATAAGAATTTGCCCTTATGGATTTCTTTGCTACAGTTGGTCATTTTACAGTAAAGTTAAGACTCTGATGTATGTTTCAGATATTCAAGCCTTATCTAGAAAATGCTTGCTCCAAATTTTAGGCGCACACAGGGGAATTTAGCTCTGTGGACTATTTTTGAAGAATTCCACAAGCATATACCAGTAAAATAGGCATGAAGAAAACATTTATTTGCCTTAAATCTCCTATTTAAAAATATTAAAGTCACAGGCTATCTCTATGACTGTAGCAAAATATTTTTGTAACACTAGATTGGCTGGTTCAAGTTATCATGGTTTTTAAAAACCGTACCATAAGGAGTTAGGAGACTGTTTCAATTTCCTTACTACTTACTACTTTCAGGGGTATGGAAATAAGCTCTGGTGATTTGAATCATTTTTTTCCTTCACATCCAATTCTATAACATGACTATCATCCACAATAACAATTCATTTCCCAAAACGCTTTTATAATATAAATGCGTTGCACAGTTAATTGATATACAGGTCAAATCCCATTACAACAAATAGCATGCAACCAAAAGCTCTCTTTTTAATAAAAAAAGATTTTTGAGCCCCAGGCGGTACTTCTCTAATTTTCATACTACAAAAGAAATTGGACCTTAAGTAGTAATGGATTTGACTCATTTTGACACTAAGAATTAAAATGAATGCCCAAAGATTGAATTGGGCAGAGTGGGCAGAGATGGAAGTAGAAAAAAGTAAGAGAAAGAGAGACAAACAGTATTGAAATTGCATTTAAAGAAATAAGAAACGGCAGAGTAAAGGGAGGTACAGCAATTCTCTTAGTCCATTCATTTAAAAATTTTTGGTTGTGGTAATAACTATTTTTCTTTATGCAGTCCTTTCTTTCAAATTACTTTCAAATACATTTCCTCTTTTACTAACTCAGCAACTTCATAAGTTGGGCATGGTTTATGTATTTCTATTTTATAGAAAAGGACCCCGAGACTCAGAAAGGTTAAGTAATTTTCTCAAGGCCACACAGCTAATCCATAACAGTTCTGGGGCTTAGCACCTAGGGCTTAACCCCTGCTCTTTAAACCACACTGCCTTTCTAAGTTATGTGTTCTATGTTTTAGAGGGGTTCCCATCAAAATCACCTGATTTTTTTTTTCATGACAGGAGAGTAATTTAATTTCCTTTCACATTTTCCATTTATTGTACATCCTAAATGTTCTAACCTATGTCTTACCATTAGGAAAACATCCTGACTTGTTTCATGAAGACATTCCTCCTAGGTAATCAGTTCTTTAACTTCATTTCTGCATCGGGCTAGGGCTACATGACTGGAAACAAGATGGTTATGACGATAGTTATGACCATAACTCTTTATCTATTTTGAAGTGGCACAATTAAAACAATGAAAACTTTCTGGTCTTGATGGTATTACAGTCTGGTCTGGCCCAAAGGAAGATTTTTGAAGCTAATAGGAATTTTTAAGACACAGCCCATGAAAAAGTGGCTTGTTGGTACCCAGATCATCTACATGAACTCCTCTGTACAATGCTAAGTGGAAATAATATTACCATAAGAACAATACAAGTCAGGTTAGGCTGTAAGAGTCAAACCAGTTCTCTGCAGTTCTAATGCAGCTGCCACTTATAGGAAATTCTCGTCAATTTGTAACAAGTAGAATTACAAGAATGGTATGGGACTCAGGTTGCAATACCATAGTATGACTACAAAGCTATTTGCCACTGCAGAGCAGTTGACTTTTTTTTTAATGACTATGGATTTTTGGTGCTAAGGATGTAAAAGAACCATATCAAAGTCACCAATTTTAATATATAGTCTGCTTTAATGCCTATGAATAAAGTGGTCAGAATTGTTTCTTGTTGCCCATATGATTCTCACAAAGCTACTCTGCAATGAGGATTCGTTGCTTGGTTCAAAGATTTAATTTCTTTATCTTCATTATCTTTTCTCTGAGCCTTTGCTGTACAGAAAAAAAAGTGTGCTAACAGCTGGATTTTTGCTCTTAGAGATATGGCACATGGCCATTTTTCCTAATTATTCTTGTCATTTCACCCATAACACTAGTTGTTTTGATGGGGAGTAGAAAAAATAAAAAAAAATCTTGACGGAATTTCTTTTTACTTTTTCAAGTAGCTTATAGAATGATTGATGCAGTATCCAGAATAATTGAGAAAAATATACTTCTTATAATGTTAATATTAAAAAAATAGTTTCTCTCTACATCCAAATATGTGACCTGGATATGTGGTGGTGGTAGTGGTGGTGATGATAGTGGTGTATGTATATGCATGTGTATGTTTCAAAAATATGTAGGCCTGCAGATGTTTAAAAAAATCTTTAACTTTTTGGAAACAGTTTATGAAATTATCATTAGCTACACTTACATTTTCAAGTGCCACTCTTTTTCTCTCTTATATACTTTTTATTTACCTCAGATTCCCATGCACAGTTAAAAATCATACACAGGGGATCCCTGGGTGGCGCAGCGGTTTAGCGCCTGCCTTTGGCCCAGGGCGCGATCCTGGAGACCCGGGATCGAATCCCACATCGGGCTCCCGGTGCATGGAGCCTGCTTCTCCCTCTGCCTATGTCTCTGCCTCTCTCTCTCATTCTGTGTGACTATCATAAATTAAAAAAAAATTTAAAAAAATCATACACAGTTCATTTGTAGAAATCATGGATAAAAATCTGGATAAAAACATGCATGGTTCATTTGTAGAAATTTACATGCAAAACAAAGGAACAAGAAGGGAGAAACATTTAGTTTAGGTCTTTGTCAGAGTTTCCATAAAACTAAGTTAACCTCCAAACTGACACTAAAATGTATATTTTGATAGAGAAACATGTTAATTTGGGGGGTTGTTTCAGGTCTTAACAGGCAAGATTGAAGTTAATTGCATTACCTACTAAACAAATGGTATTTTGGATAAAGAGCCTTCTGGACAAGAAATAAATTCTTAGAATGAATGTTTTGACCAGGATCATACGTGCTTTAATGCTATCATTGATAGTTGATTTGTTCCACAACTGTTCCAGGGTTCAAGAAAGGAACCCTAACTATCACTCCATGAATTGTATAGCTCTCAAATACCAACAGCATTTTTCATAGAACTATAACAAACAATGCTAAAGTTTGTATGGAAACAAAGACTCTGAATAGCCTAAGCAATCTTGAGAAAGAAAAGCAAAGCTGGAAACATTACAATTCCAGACTTCATATTATGTTACAGAGCTGTAGTAATCAAAACTGGATACATAGATCAATAGAACAGAATAGGAAACCCAGAAATAAACCCATAATTATATAATCAATTAAATCTTCAACAAAGCAGGAAGGAATATCCAATGGGAAACAAACATAGTCTTTTCAACAAATGGTGTTGGGAAAACTGGACAGCAACATGCATAAGAAGGAAACTGGACTACTTTCTTACACCATACACACCAAAAAAATTCAAAATGGATGAAAGACCTAAATAAGAGACTTGAAACCATAAAAATCCAGAAGAGAACACAGGTACTAACTTCTTTAACATCAGCTATAGCAATTTTTTTCTAGATATTTCTCCTGAGGCAGGAGAAACAAAAACAAAAATAAACTATCGGGGAAAAAAACTAAACTATTGGGACTACACCAAAATAACAAATTCTGCACAGTAAAGGAAACAACAAAATAAAGGGCAATCTGGAACAGAAGATATTTGTAAATCACATATCCAATAAAGTGTTAGTATCCAAAATATATAAAGAACTTATAAAACTCAATACCCCCCAAAACAAATAATTCAATTAAAAAACAGGCAGAAAAATGACAGGAAAATTTCATTAGCATTTTAAGAAGGATTCCTAAATGATATGTATTTTAGCAACAGACCGGAATGTCTTATTCCTTACAGTCTTTGTTCAATCATTGGAGGCAAAGCCTCAGAGTGTAGTCCAGATGCTGTCATTAGGTACTAACTTTGAAGGGTAAGAGGAATTTAATGATTGCACATTTAGGTAACTTCTTTAAAATGCATTGGATAGGGGCACCTGAGTGGCTCAGTTGGTTAAGTGACTGATTCTTGATTTTGACTCAGGTCATGATCTCATGGTCTTGAGATCAAGCCCCGCTCTCACATGGACTCTCATAAGTAAGTAAGTAAATAAATAATGCATTGGATAGCATAAAGAAAGTGAATGACACACCCATATTTCTCAATTCTCAGCTAAATGAATACAGTAGTTCCTTCTTCTCCATGAGGGATAAGTTCTAAGATTCCCCAGTGGATGCCTAAAAATGTAGGTGGCACCAAACTCAATATATACTGTTTTTCCTATACATATATATTATAATAAAGTGTAATTTATAGATTAGGTACAGAAATAGATCAACAATAACCAATAATAAAATAGAACAATTATAATGATGTACCACAATAAAAGTTATGTGAATGTGAAAAAAATGGGTAGAAGACATGAAAAGACATTTCTTTAAAGAGGACATCCAGATGGCCAACAGACCCATGAAAAGATGTTCATCATCACTTAGTATCAGGGAAATACAAATCAAAACTACAATGAGATATCACCTAAAAAAAAAAGAGAGAGAGAGAGAGAGAGAGATATCACCTCACACCTGTCAGAATGGCTAAAATCAACAACACAAGAAACAAGTGTTGGTGAGGATGTGGAGAAAAAGGAACCCCTGTGTACTATTGATGGGAATGCAAACTGATACAGCCAATGTAAAGAATAGTATGGAAGTTCCTCAAAAAGTTAAAAATAGAACTACCTTAAGATTCTGCAACTGCACTTCTGGGTATCTACTCAAGGAATAAAAAAAAAACACTAATTTAAAGGAATACATGCACCCCTGTGTTTATTGCAGCATTATATGCAATAGCCAAGATATGACAGCAGCCCAGCCCAAGTGTCCATTGACAAATACATAGATAAAGCAGAGGTGGTATATATGTATACAATGGAATGTTATTCAGCCATAAAAAAGAATGAAGTCTTGCTATTTTCAAGGACATGGATGGAGCTAGAGAATATAATGCTAAATGAAATAAGTCATTCAGAGAAACACAAATACTATATGATTTCATTTATATGTGGAATTTAAGAAAGAAAACAAATGATCAAAGGGAAAAAAGAGAGAAACCAAGAAACAAGTGTCTTATTTATAGAGAACAACTGATGGTCACCAGAGTTGTGGTGGGTGAGGGGAATGGGTGAAATCAGTGATGAGGATTAAGGAGTGACTCGACTAGGTGATGTATAGAATTGTTGAATCACTATATGGTACACTCGAAGCTAATATAGCACTGTATGTGTACTAACTGGAATTAAAATAAAAACTTTAAAATTCTTTTTATTTTTTATTTATGATAGTCATACAGTGAGAGAGAGAGAGAGAGAGAGAGAGAGAGAGAGGCAGAGACACAAGCAGGCTCCATGCACCGGGAGCCCGACGTGGGACTCGATCCCGGGTCTCCAGGATCGCGCCCTGGGCCAAAGGCAGGCGCCAAATCGCTGCGCCACCCAGGGATCCCAAACTTTAAAATTCTACAGCTCTGCACAATGAACTACATCCTCACAGATTTGTGGGAAAATAAAACATGTATAGTTGACTTTCTTCTCATATTAATTGAAAAGTGGTTTCTATTTAAAACACAATCTGAATTTTGGAAATATTTGTGCATACTGTGTAAACTCCACATACCTACTCATAGTCTCTTAAATAATTGAAGCCATTTTAAATTCTACGTATTGTGCCTTTTTTTTAACATATTGCCTTTTTACAAAATTCTTAGTATTGCAGTAGCCACTCTGAAGGAATGTCACAAAATACCAGCAGCAAAGAAAACGTCAATCAAACTCTAATATCAGGTGAACAAGCCGAGGGAACAGAGGATCTCATTAAGACGGTGAGAGCTTTTTCTGCTGTATTTTAAAGGATCTAGCAACTCACCTTTTCATTTGGTGAGGATAACATACTCTACAATGTTCAGCTCATTCTTTCCTAAGGACATTTGCCAATTATTTGTTTGGCTTAGGAATTTGCAAAATAATTGTATTTTTATTTATTAAACACATTTAACATGCATAATAGTCATATACATCTTATATATAAATAGATATATTTAACTTGCAGCATTAAGTAGCCTTTAATACTTAGGTCAGATAATATATGCACAAAAAGAGATACATATGATTTGTGGAGGAATGATATACTTAAAAGACTGGGATCTGGCCTATATATTTTTAGGTGTTTATATTAATACAATAGGGAAAATTTCCAGCCAAATAGAATCACTTCTTTGTTCTTCACATGCCTGATATTTGTCAAACTAACCATGGCCTATTACAAAATGGTATATGGGAGATACTCAAGGCCCAGGCCCCTACAATGAGCTACATTTTCAACAATAAGACAGATCATTGAATCTAAGAGGTTTAATTGAATTAGTCTGGGATTCTAATTCAATCTCCAATCACAGCTGACTGATATCACTTTGAACAAATCAGTTAATCTCTCTGTATCTCAGTTTTTCATCTGACAATTGAAAATATTAATACTTACCCTGCTAGTATGCTTCCTGTAAGAATTAAGTAGGATGTATGTGAAGTCTCATAGAAGAAATATGAAACTGTGTAAATGAAAGATCATTGATCTTCATGCATGACTTCAGTCAGGTTAACATCCTGCCTTGCCTTTTATCCTCCCTCTACCTTCACACCTGACATCAGTAAGTAATCAAGAGGGGTAAATAGGTTTTGCACAAACATAGTTATTTGTATAAATCAGTTGGAATCAACTATCCAAGCCACGAGAGACCTACACTCCTGTAGTCTTTAAAAGACTATAGCCTCTAAGGGAAAATAATATATCTCAAAGCTTATTTAGAAGTTACATGAGCAAGAGATATTCAGAATAAGGAAAGGGATATAAATTTTTCTAAGAGTCCAAGATTAAGGGCAGAATAAAATTTGGTTGCTAGTTAATGGATTTTTCAATAGTATGTTAAATATTCAGAATAAAAATAAGAACTATAGTTATTCTCTTTCTTTGCATTTAGGTAATGAATAAGCATTATTATACATTTTCTCATTTGATGTAGTAGTATTTCAAAGCAATAAAAAACAAGAGATTTGTACCATGTTAAAATACTCTCAGATTAATAAATGCAGACTTGAAATCCCTGAAAGAAAAATACAGGGATTTTTTTTTTGTGATTTTAATATGGTATTTAAAAAGTTTTGCTGTATGTAATACCTTGTTACAGATAAGAGTAAAATGAGAAATGATCTTTAAAACATCATCAAATTGGCTATATAAATATCAAATGCTACAATCCTACTATCAAGCATGAGGTTTAAATTACTTCTTGTTATAAGGCTGCCCCATTTTAAGGACCACGTTAGCCTTTTCCCCCCAACGTTCAGTTGAAAGGAGTTTTATTTTCTGTAGTGAGTGAAAAATCATTTTCTGAAAATGACCTTCCATAAAAGTTAAGTCTTGGTTGAAATCTATGGTAAAGAAGGCATATCTCTCCACAGTGGTAGCTCACAATCCTTATCTCTGTATGATCTTTCTGTTACATAGGCCAAAGTGTTTGTAAGTAACTTATCTACAGTATGTGAGAAGGTTTGGACTTTGGGACTCCATCAGACGTTCTTGTTAATGCTCATAATTGGAAGATGGCTTCTACCCATTGGAGGCGGGATCACTCGAGACCAACTCTCTCAACTTCTCCTTATGTTTGTGGGGACAGCTGCTGATATATTGGAATTCACAAGTGAGACCCTGGAAGAACAAAGTGTGAGGTAAGCAGGCCTGCAAGATCAGGGTCCCCACACTTGTCTATTTGTTCTACTATTTATATTCTGCACAAATAAGGATTTTCAGTCTATTATAATTCCAAAAATAGAAGCATAGTTTCCTAATGTTCAGACATATTAGTTACTATCCCAATATCTATCTATCTATCTATCTATCTATCTATCTATCATCTATCTATCATTTTCATTTGAACTTCATGCTAGAGAAAAGGGCAAATAATATTTCCTTTGGGTCAGGACAGAAAAGCTCTCCACTTCTGCCTGACCCCAGGTTAGGTGAGGCCATGGTTATAAGAAAACCTTCAGGAGGTGGAATGATCATCCATAGCTCCTCTTTCATATTCTCAAGTAGCCAATCATAAAATTTTCTTCTAGCACACGGCATAGCTACAATTCCAAGAAAGCACCTAGAAAAGATATAGAGAAATCTCTCTTCTACCCATTTGGAAATGTATATTCCCTGGTGTGAATGGAGAATGGAGCAGATTAGGTTTATTTTACTAAATTTTATTTTTAGTCAGTTTTGTTCAAAGTGCCTAAAGGCCTTCTGGTGTAGATGCCTATAAATTAAAACTTATTGAGTTGGTACTTTTATTTTTGCCACAAGCAAATAAACTCAGAATCCATGATCACATCTGTTTATGGAACCACTTTCTTACCTTTAGGGATTTAAGTCTCAGTGCCTGAATGTACTTTCAGCTTGGGTTGTTTTGCACTATGCTATAAAAATAAATTGCAATGAAGCTAGCTTTTAATGCTACAGTTTATGCTGTGTTTCTCAAATAACGAAACATAAAGCTGAGCAAAATACACTAACTTACTGAGTAAATGTAATATTCCAATTATAGCACAAAGAATATCGATAACCAGAGGTTACCTTTACATCATTTCCTGTTTCATTTATACTAATTTTTCTTATACTTTATTAAGTAGACAGAACTTTATTTTTTTTAAATTTTTTTATTTATTTATGATAGTCACAGAGAGAGAGAGGCAGAGACACAGGCAGAGGGAGAAGCAGGCTCCATGCACCGGGAGCCCGATGTGGGATTCAATCCGGGGTCTCCAGGATCGCGCCCTGGGCCAAAGGCAGGCGCCAAACCGCTGCGCCACCCAGGGATCCCTAGACAGAACTTTAAAAAGAATCCAATTTAAGTTGATCCATTGTCCAAAATATTGATATTAAATTTGTAACTTTAATACCTTATATTTGGTCAGTGCTGTACATTATATATTACATTTCTCGTAATACAAGAAAAACATGAAGAAATCATGATCAAGCACATAAAAACAATAAACTATAGGCACAATGACAGGGACATAAAAATATAAATATGACTAGCTATACCTATAGAAATAAACACATAGATGCTAAATATCTGGGGAGATGGGGGGGGGAATTAGGGTAGGAAATAGAATATTCAGGAGGGATATGTTTCATGGGGCTGCTAATAAAAATGTGAGAAATGCCAAACCCAGCTATCTTAATGGTCTCTATATTAGGTCCATCCACAAATGACACCAAGCTTCATTTTATAGATCAGTGTTTGCCAATAGATGTTAAATGTTCAATAAGTTAGGCATTAAAATTTTAATGTCCCAGAAAAAACATTGAAAATCATGAGGTATTCATTCATTCAGCAACTGTAGATTGATTATCTAGTATGTACCAGGCAGTGAGTTAGGTAGAGATTGGGGAGCAAGTGGTAAGTGGTGAGAGAAAATCTGGACACATCATACTCTCCTAACCCAGGTGATTTCAATTCAGCAATTTCTTCTGCCACCTACAAATTAATTGAATGTTTCAAAAATCTTTCTGTTTCTCATTTTATACTTGTATTATGTCCTTCGAAGGAATCAAATAAAATATACTATGGTTATCATTTGCTTGTTTGTTTATTTATTTTCCTTTTTAAAATTTTTATTTAATTATGCTGAGTGAAGTAAGTCAATCGGAGAAGGACAAACAGTGTGTGTTCTCATTCATTTGGGGAATATAAATAATAGTGAAAGGGAATATAAGGGAAGGGAGAGGAAATGTGTGGGAAATATCAGAAAGGGAGACAGAACATAAAGACTCCTAACTCTGGGAAACGAACTAGGGGTGGTGGAAGGGGAGGAGGGCGGGGGGTGGGGGTGAGTGGCTGACGGGCACTGAGGGGGACACTTGACGGGATGAGCACTGGGTGTTATTCTGTATGTTGGTAAATTGAACACCAATAAAAAATTAATTTATAAAAAAAATAAATTCAATTTGCCAACATATAGTATTACACCCAAAGCTCATCACATCATGTACCCTCCTTAGTGCCCCCTCACCCAGTTACCCCATCCCCACACCGGTCTCTTGTGGTTTGTCTTCCTCTCTAATTTTTCCCCACTCCTTTCCTTTATGGTCCCCTTCACTATTTCTCATTTTAACATTTATTTTTCAGGCTTCATGGTCTCAGACTGGTCATTTTATTTTTAATATAACTGCATTGTATCAGTGTTTAGTCTACGCTCCTGCATGTCTCTATCACTACTCAGTTTCCAAAGTCAAGGCCCAGAAAGAACCTATAATTTTTTTCTCCTTAAAACCTACCTTCACTTCTGATTTTGTCACTGGTCTCATCTATACTGCGAGAATTGACACTGCAAATGTCTGTCTCCTCAAAGGAGAGATTTAAACCCTCCCACTGTGGCAAACCTTTCCCCTTTGCACTCAAAAAAGACAGTCATGAAAAATAAATGTAATGTACTCATAAAAGATGTTCACTTGTGATAGCAAAGGAGGCTACTTCATTATAACCCATTTAGCGTTACCTATTTTTACAACATTTTATTTTCTATTTTATTTTATTATGTAATTTGGCCTGACAGATTTAGGAGAAAACCTTCAATAATGTGTACACTGCAATGATGTCTATTTTTTTTTTAACTTAAATCAATTTCTTTCCTTATGCCCACTTTAGGTTCATTTTGCTCATTCTTGTGGTTGTGACCAATTTACATGAACTTGTGAGATAATGCAAATTTTTCTTAAGAGCTTGACTTTACACACCCTAGAATTCACTATTCTAATTCTACGGTTCAGTGACATTTAGTAACTGTATGTGCAGCCATCATGAAAATCTAGATTCCTTGTGGCTGTTTGGAGTCAATTCTCACTCTCCCATGACGAACCCTAAGCAATCCCGGATATATATGTTTTTTTCCTATAGTTAAGAGCATCTTATGGTTTTCCTCTCTGTATGTTTTAAAAAAAGAATATTTTTTTAAAAAAAATTGATAAAGTTCCATGTATTAGTTTTTTTTTTTAAATTTTAAGTAGTATATTTTGGGTGTCATATCTAAGAAATATTTTCCTCAACAAAATTAGAAATATTTCCCTTTATAATATTCTGACTTGACTCTTGTGTAGTGTGATATAAGGATCTAAATTTGTGTTTCATTTTATTTTGTTTTGTTTTTGGCATTGTCCCAGAACAGTTTTTGTTCTAAGACCAATGGTCTCTGTAATTTGTTGAAAAGACTATCCTTTCCCTAATAAATTGCCTTGATATCTTTGTTGACCACATATGTAAGGGTCTTTACAGACTTTCTGTTGTATTCCATTGCTATATATATCTATCCTTATGCCAGTACCAGACTATTATGATTACAGGAATTTAATGGTAAGTCTGAAACTATATTATTATAAGCCTTCTAATATTGTTCTTTAAAAATTTTTTTTTGGCTATTCTAGGTCCTCTATATTTCCCTTTAAGTTTTATGATCAGCTTGTCAAATTCTACAAAATAATGCTGCTGGAATCTTGATAAGGATTGTATTAAATCTAAGCATCAACTTGTGAAGAAATGACATCTTAATTTTAAATCTTTTAATGTGTGAAGATGAATTATCTCATCATTTATTCAGATATTCTTTAATTTATCTCAGCAATGTTTTGTAATTTTCAATATATGGGTCTTGTGCTGCTTTTCCTAACCTTATTTTTAAGTATTTGATTCTATTTGATAGAATTATTTTCTTAATATCATTTTATGTTTTTTATTACTACTACATAGAAATACAATTGATTTTTGTATGATGATCTTATACCCAGCAATCATGCAAGTTTATTAGTTTTCTAGATTCCTTAGGATTTTCTACTTATAGGATAATGCCATTTGTAAGTAAGATAGTTTTCATTCTTTTTAATCTGTATGACTTTAATTTCTTTTTCTTACCTTATTACACTGGTTAGGATTTCTAGTACAATGTAAATAGAAGTATACGAGTGGACATTTCAATCTCAAAGGGTAGCATTCTGTCTTTCACTATTAAGGATGGTGTTATGTATAGGTTTTGCATATATACTTTGTAGATGCCCTTGATCAGTTGGAGGAAATTCTTATTTCTAGGTTATTAAGAGTTTCTTTCTTTCTTTCTTTCTTTCTTTCTTTCTTTCTTTCTTTCTTTCTTTCTTTCTTTCTTCTTTCTTTCTTTCTTTTTTTTATTTCTTTTTTTTAAATTTATTTATTTATGATAGTCACAGAGAGAGAGAGAGAGAGAGAGAGAGAGAGAGGCAGAGACACAGGCAGAGGGAGAAGCAGGCTCCATGCACCGGGAGCCCGATATGGGATTTGATCCCGGGTCTCCAGGATCGCGCCCTGAGCCAAAGGCAGGCGCCAAACCGCTGCGCCACCCAGGGATCCCTCTTTCTTCTTTCTTTTGTCATTGGGTTTTGTTCAATGTTTTTTCTATTTTTATCAAGATTATTATGTGGTGGTTGTCTTTCATTCTATGAATATGGTATATTACATTAACTAGTTTTCAGATGCTAAACCAACCTTGAATTCCTGGGATAAATCTTAGTTGATTATAGTGTATAATGGTTTCAATGCATTACTGATATGGGTTTGCTAACATTTTGTTGTTAATTTTTACATCTACACTCATGAGCATATCAATTTATAGTAATATTTTCTAATGATCTCTTTTTCTGGCTTTAATATTAGGAT